CATTTTTATATTTTCTGTACTCACTAATTCACCTCCTGAAGTTTTCCTTATGATCACTTTATAATCACCACTCTCATTTCCATTTTCTAACTCACACTAGGTAATGCATTATTGTCTTTATGTTGTATTAGGCCAATTTTTATTTCTCCATGTTCATATAGTCAACATAATGGGGACACCTCATAATTTTTATAACAAGACACAAATATATGGCATTTATATGACATTAATTTTTGTTTCCCCAATTCTCACACTTCCTACACACCCGTCTATTTTCTCTCACACACCCAACTTTTCCTTTCAAAACTCCAGTATTTCCCTGTATCCTGCTCCTCTTCTCCTTCACTAAGATGACTTATCCTGCCTTTTCCGTTCAAGTTCCAAAGCCTACATAACAGAAATCAGAAAACCCAACAGATACAGTCTCAAATTCATTCTGGATTCTCTACATGGCAGGAATGCACCTTCCCAGTCTTCAGTATGTTGTGTGAGACCACAGAGGAGAAGAATTTGCTCTGTGCCTTGGAAATAAACTCCACTGGGGAAGTGAGTGCAGAGATGGAGCCAACCAGTTCAGTCAGCTCTCAGAGAATGTGTGTTTGCTGCTTGGTGGGGAGACCCCACATCTGTGTCCATTTATGCTCGTGCATGATCTTTGTCCTCAGAGTGGCAGAGGTAGAGACTGGTCTGAGCATTAGTGATCCAGCCATCTCATTCAAGCAATGATGGCCTCCTATAGTGTGAGGGCAGTGTCCCCCATGCCTGGTGCTCTGAGTTTTATGTGAACATTTTTCAGTCTTTATTCTCAGTATGTCTCATATTTGGGTTATATGATATTTTCATTGTGGTAAAAAATCTGGGAAGAATATTACAAATATGAATACACATTGCTCTTACTATATTGAAGAACTTGGCATGAGTCTATTTAGCAAGTAATTTTGTCTTTGGTTACTCTAGAATTTGTTTTTATTAATATTCCATATTTCCTTGTTCCTTGAGTTTTTCTATTCCATGAGTCCACTAAAGAAATTCACTAAGAATAAGCAATTTTCTAAGGTAAAGAATTCATACTAAAGGCAATCATTTTTATAATTTTCTTTTATTTGATAGGAGGGTTTTTTTCTTAAGTGTTTGATCAGTCATTAGCTTACTTATGTCCTGACACATGTATATTCTTTTAGTGGGCTATGTTATCATAACAAACACACACATCATATCAACAGGAAGAAAGAGATATTCATAGGTAGATGAACTGAATCTCTTACTTCCTGTCTTTTTACAGGGACACCCTGCTTGACCTGGACTATCTATGTATAATAAACTGATATAGAATTATGAGATATTTTCTTCTCATTGTCTTCCTAGTGACAAGATTAAGGGTGTACACCACCAACCATCTCATGGAGCATTTCAAAAATTAAATAATTAATCGGAAAATATTTTATTTCATACAAAATATTCTGATCATTATTTCACTTCCTTCATCTTTTCCTAGAACATTCCAGTCAACCAATGTGATCAATTCTATAACTTGCTGAGTTTTAAAGATATATAGAAGATTGGCTTCATGATATTCATTTTCATATTTGCAATAATTGGTTTAAAAATCAATAATTGAAACTGTGTTTTTGTCTTTTAAAATCATTTGCTTTTATACCTACCTAGTACATGAATTCTTGTGTAGTATGGCTGTTTGTCTGACCTTCAAGGAGCCTCTCTCTTTTTTCACCTACATGAGTGTATAGTCTAGGTGGGGTTATGAATACTTCCTTTATATGTTATATCTTCATTGTAAACTCTTAGAAAACACAATATTTTATATACAATGACATGTAATGTATGTGCTTGCATCAAAAGCCAATATAATTTATGTAGGAATGAATCTGACTAAATAAACTTTAGTATTAATATGAGTATAAAATGTATTGTTTTATAGGTTAAAATACTTTTATTAATGTGTACACTGTGTACTGAGAGAATTCAGGATGGAGGAGATGGCTTTGTGGAATGGGGCCTGCATCCCAGTATGAGTGTCTCAGTTTTATCCACAGCACTCAGATTAGAAGCTGGACATGAAGGTGAATCCTACAGTCCCTGCCCTGGGAGATATCCATTTGTCTGGTGATACAGATGTTGGTTTTATGAAAACTTTTCTACCTATGTGGGTTGGTCAAGAAGAAGGAGCCCAATCAGAGGATGTGGTACAAGAACATGTCTGTTTATGAGGACATCACCTCTCAACTTTGTGTTCCCTGGGGTATCTGAGAACCTGCTGATCTCATGGATGCACTTTAACAGGGAGTAACGTGTTAATAATCTTTAACAGGGATTAGCAGTATCACAAAACAGTATTTATTAGTCAAAATATGAGGAATATGGCTAAGAAATATTAACATTTGAATCCAGGCCTCATCTATATCACCTAAGAACTCATAAATGTGAATATGTACCAGAGCTGGAAGGGGAAAAATTACAGAAACACTTTATTTCAATTATGTGTATGTATATCTGTGTGGGTAGTTTAGATTTAATGGTTACAAAATCAGTGCATCTGTCCTTATAGGTGGTTATGAGCTGCTATTTCATATGTCAGGAAATGCACATAAATCCCCATTTGCTTCTCTAGTACTGGAGAATCATGTTCTCAAGAGTCTACACACTAATAGAGCTGAATGAACCTGCAGGATATTTTGGAAATGACAGCCAGGCACCGAGAGAACACAAGGACCTATTATCAAGTGTACTCTAAGAATTGGATGTCAGGGAAATTAAAATTATGGCAGAGTGTCCCTGATTTGGACAGTGTAATTGTGAAGATTACTTAGTTACATGAGAGGGATTATCCAAAATACTGTGTTTATGACTGTTGACCACAGTTAATAAGAACCTCTACTGGTCTACATATATGGAGGTAGTAGAATTTTATGAGTTAACCCCAAAAGACAGACTCGTCATTTGACATGTTGTGGGATAATTCTCTAGGGCTTTATTGAAAGCTAATTTTTACAAAGATACACATGTGTAAAATAGAATCTGTCAAACAGGATAACCAGCTCTATCCTTTTATGGAATCTTCTGGTGTAGAAGAAGGACACTATTGGAATTTTGGTTTCCATGGCGACTTGGCAATATGATACCAATTTAGAGAAGCTGTGGATTCTCTACCACATAT